GTGGAAAAATAAACAGTGGTGGAAATGGAAACATTGAAGACTACAAATACTTCAAAAGTGCTTTTTTGCTGTAACATCATATTTGTCTCAAATGAATAGTACATYAATTTGTATTTTAAAATATTTACACAAACTATACACTATATTTATGCAATGAAAATGAATACACTATATACACTATAGGTACAAGTATTATAATAAATGTTCGTTCTTAATTTAAATGCAATTATTATTATTCATATTATAATCTGTGGCCTGTGCTGTTACTTTCTATAACTACATATCATTATTAGATTAAGGTAGCCGGTAGGTCCATAGTATTATGTTCTCTATATAAATAATATTATCGTGCACGTCATTATTATAACCTAAGGTGATGTGTATTTGTAAATCAAACTGCAATTTGTATAACTGTTTGGGTCATATAGGTTCCTACTATTCAAAAATAAATAATGATAAACATCCAAAAGCAATGGCACAACGCAGTATCGCAGTACATATAATATAATATGCATACACATATCTACTATATTATCCATTGACGAGTATGTAGTTCGACTGCAGTAATATTTTGTATTTAGATTTTTGTCGGCATCTCGTGTGTACCTATATAAGTAAGCCATGCCACAAAACACACGCAATGCAAATATGCATAAACAAAGTAACTAAGTAGGCCAGATTATAAGGTATATATAACCTACCTATTATACATACTCAAAAGTGGAAGAGTGTTTGGTACTAATGGGAAAATGATATATTATAAACTAGTTTTAGGTATAAGAATAAAGAATGAAAAAAAAGATTTGTCACTAAGATAAATAGAAAAGAAAACGATGTAATAAATAAGTTATTAGCCAACCTTTAAACATTTGGCATAGTATCATAAAAAAATAATACTTAATAATATTATTACGTATAGACCGTATAGTATAGCCAAGTAGATATAATATAAGTAACTAATATATGATGTATTAAATGTAATTTTTGTTTTATTCGAAGTGGTATATAAATGAATTATAAAGARTTTGCTATAATTTTCATAATAGATTTATGATTTTGTTTTTGAAGAACGATAATTATGAAATCTTTACCTGAAAAAAATTATTTTATCATACAATTTAATTTATCTTATTGGTAATTAATACATTTTATTTTAYTATAGTCTACACTCTGTACCAGGGGTGGCAAATCTTTTTTGGTTCTAGTGCCAAATTTTTGCAATTAAGGGTTTGGTAATTTTTCATGTACCAACAGTTTGTAAACACTAAATAGAACATAATAAATATAGTGATAATATAGCAACATAATCAATTTTATGTACAGGAATATTATAACTTAAAATGTTTATTATTTATTTGTTAGGATTTTTTACAAGAAAAATTTTAAGGATAACATATAATTTTTCAAGTGCAGCCATTGCAATTTCACAAACGTGCCACATTTGGCACGTGTACCTACCATTTGTTTGCCATCCCTGCTCTATAGTATAGACTATGGAGCAGTGGTTCTCAAGCTTTTTTCACACTATATTATACATCACAAGTTTTCACGGCACACTAAAGACTCAACATAAATGTAACGAATAAAGTACTGTTTTCAATATCTTTTACCAGCATAATAATTACAAATATCAGATATATTTCACGGCACATCCGTTGAGAACCACTGCTATAGAGTTTATATAAGTATAACTACCTAATAAGTAAATACAATTTTGAATATTAATTAATTATCAACATCCAAATTTGTTTTATAATTATTAAGGATGAGCGAAAGAAAAATGCATCGTCGACAAAATATCAATGTTACCGCTTCTKACAGGAAATCAGAAATATTGTCGACGACAATGGCAAAAACACACATTTCCGACAAATTTTTCTTGGTCCGGACCGGTCTTTAGGTTGGTTAGTAATTATTTTTTGAGTTATATCTTTATAAACATTTAGAAGGTGACATTGACATTGATATAATATATTATATTATACAGTAAAGGTACAGACATAATTTAATAATAATAATCTACACACATCAGACGATATTAAAATATTATTTCACCTCATCCAGAATCGATTTTTTAAACAACTATTATGTAACSATACGACGATACGAGTTATAATCAAATTACAAATTGTATTCTATTTATCAAATGTAAATAATCTTTAAAGTTATGGTGACGATTTATGATAAAGATAACACTAGAATAATATATAAGTAGGTAAGTACCTACAATAATATGTTAAATACAGTTTGTTAATCTGTGAACTGCAGGGGAGGACTTTCTAATAATGCCATAAAGTTTAAAACTATAACTGCTTTATTAACGCCTGATAGTATGTATATTATGTCTTCAATATATAAGCTGGCGCTTTAAAAAGATAGATATCTTGAGTGTGTAACGCAATGTATTTTTTTCCTAAACAAAAAATGTTTTATGAGAAAAAAAATATAACATTTTGTAACAGATAGAAAAAATTTGATGTTTAGTTTAAATATGATATAAGTAGGCAGATACGCATGTATGCAATTAAAAATATGATTTAGCTAGAAAAATATTTAAAAATTAAATTTACCAGGTGCCACTAGTACCTCACGTCTTTTAGAACCCATTCGTAAAACCGTTAACTCGTTAGACGGATCCAAATTTCTAACAAAACCCTTCGCGTTGTCAGCCAGTTTCATTATCATTTCAGCATGATTAACAGACGATCTATTGTCTAATGTTGATGTTATGAGATCACCTATAAAAATTATTGCCTGTATTAAACATAATAATATGATAAACGATAGGTAGGTAACCATAGGCGCAAATAGAGGGGCTAGGGGGGGCTCTGCCCCCCCCMAACAAATGATTTTACTACATGATACACGTTATTTAAGTTAAAAGCATCATAAGAGTATTCAGTGTCCTGATCAGAGCTACAGCTTTAGCCCCCCCCCCAGATTTCAAACACTATTTATGCCTATGTAGGTAATAAATACAGTGCACGAGTTAAGGACGAAAGATTGAGTATTATTACTACCTGACTGGCTAGCTATAACAAGGAATTACGAATAAGAACTACGAAGTTAATAAGTCAGTGATCACAACTATTAGGTAMTTATATACTACCTGTCTACTTACCTATTATAACAACTATATAATAAGATACTCTTCGAATACACACCATTATTGTTTACCACAATAACACCAATAACACCGTTTTGAGATTGGATCCGTTTCAAAGTTTCTTCGAATTCGTGTTGAACATTATTCATTGTCTATCGAACTTTAAAAAGAGGCTACAATGCAATTTAATAAATAATTATTGTCACACGAGACGTGTAATCTATTCAATCTATTCTATACTAATTGAATAGATTGAAAAAATTAGTGCAATTATACAAKCCGTTTCCATGATTACATAATACTATAATATACCATTGATTACAAATCAATAGACAATTATACACACGCGGGTGTAGCATCATTTTAAATAGGTAGTGTTTTCAAATTTTCAATCTATTATTAGACGTTTTATTTTGTCACCYTAAATTTTCAGATGACGATTATTTATAAAATAAAGTCTTGGAATTTAATTGGTACCTACAATTTACCGTTGTTAGTAACACCAAGTACTTATAACATATACGAGTCAGGATCATTAAACGCCACATTTAAAATATTTTAAAATAAAATCAAGGGGGTTAGATCGGAGTCACTGACTTTTTAAACCAAGTCTCCTTGATGATGTACCTGGTTAGGGTATTTGACATGTTAAATTGCAATTGTCTGCTTCACAACAACTAATGGTATTAATTAATTTACTCAYCCAATTATTAAAAACTACCATAATAAAACAGTAATTCAAATTTAATTTTAATTTTAGATCAGTAGATTACAGCAATGTGGGGGAAGATCGCAAAATGACACTACTACATTGATACTAAGAACATTA